CTTTAAATTTGAAAGGCCTAATATACAGTCTTTTTTTTTTTTTTAAATGAAGGTCAAAAGAGAATTTGCCACCACAGATTCTCAGTAAAGTAATATAAAGAATATACTCAGGCTTAAGGGAAAGCAGTATCTTGAAGATGGAAAACAGAATAAAGAAAGTGGTAAATATTTAGATACATTTAAACTAACTCTGTAAAATAACAGTAATAATGTCTTTGGGAAGTTATAAAATAGAACTAAAGTACACAATAATTACATATAAGCAAAGAAGAAAAAAGGAGCCTTTGAAAAGTTAAAGATGAGTGTTTAAATTTCTTAAAGAGTATACAAAGTACATTATCAAACCATGAGGGCTTTGGGGGAGAACATGGTAAGAAAAAACAATCCAGAAGAATAAAAGGAATGAGCGGAAGCTGAGGGCAGAGGGGAAGCATAAACAAAGGCATGACAGGAGGAAGTAACAAACACTGATTGTACAAGTAAGTTCAAGTATATCAACAATTTCACTAAATGTAGATGGACTGAATGCTCCAAGATAAAAATATAGAGAAAGTGCAAGACTAGTTTAAGAAAACAATCCAACTCTGCTATTTATAAGATATATATCTAAATAAAGATGTTGAGCTGTAGCTGAAGTAAAAGGATATACTACGCATAGTGTAGTATATGGCATTTGTGGCACACTTTCTGTAAAAGGCCAGATGGTAAATGATTTCAGTTTTGCATACAATCTCTGTCAGAGGTACTCAATTCTGCCCCTTGTGACATCAACATGGTCATTAACAATGCTTAAAGAGAACAGGCATAGCAATGATATTTTATTTACAAAAAGAGGCTACAGGTAGAAGGGGCCATTGCTGACCACTGTTTTACCCAAAAGCAATCTGAAGCAGCTATATTACTATAAAAGTAAACACTAGGGCCCCCCAAAACAGTTCTATATTTAAAGATATTCACTACATAAAGCATTCTATGCACCAGAAAAATAATTCTGAATATATGGCCCTAAACAACATAAAGCAAAAATCCCAAGGAATATTTGTGGTATTGGGATGGATGAAAGTCTTCTAAATACAAATACTGAGTAGGTTTCTCACATAATTATTTTTACAGTGAGGAAAACCAGCACGGGGAAAAAAGTTATAAATAAGAAATCATTATTTTAAAAATTAGCAATAACTAGATCACCTGTAATATAATCATGTGTAAAAATTAACCCACCACTCCCGATTAAATGGCCTTCATTTGCACACTAATACTGGTATCCTAGAAGTGTCAAGTTTGCTTTATGGATTCAAAATATTTTGATATGTAGTTTTTGGTCTAATCCTAATCAAAATCCAATGAGTGATATACTACATTAACCAAATGAAGGATAAGAATCTTAAGTGCAGAAAAAGCATTTGACAAAATTCAGCATACATTTATGATAGAAAATATCAATAAACCAGGTATAGACAGGGTACCTGACCATAATAAAGGCCACATATGACAAGCCCACAGCTAACATCATTACTCAATGGTGAAAAGCTGAAAGCTATTCCTCTGAAATAAGGAATGAGGCAAAGATGCCCACTCAAGCCACTTCCAGTCAACCTAGTTCTGGAAATTCCAGCCAGACCAATTAAGTAAGAAAAAGAAAGAAAAGGCATCTAAATCAAAAAGGAAGAAGTAAAAATTTCAACTGGGATCGGCACATCCTGAGTGTTCTGATTATTATTGCCTGTTTAACTGGAAGTAAAACCACTAGGAAAAAAATATTTTCAAGAAGTAAAACTCTATTTACAAAAGAGAAACCCTAAAGATGACATCAAAAAATACTGTTCAAATTAGTAAATTCAATAAAGTTGCAGGATACAAATTCAGTTTACAAAAATCTGTTGTGTTTCAATACATTCATAACAAACTAGCAGTAAGGGAAATTAAGGAAGCAATTCTGTTTACAACTGCATCAAAAAGAATAAAAAACCTAAAAATAAATTTAACTACAGAGGCAAAAGACTTGCACAATGAAAACTATAAGACATTGATGAACAAAACTGAAGAAAACAAAAAATAAACGGACAGCCCATGCTTACGGATTAGAAGAATTAATAGTGTCAAAATGTCCTTACTATTCAAAGTAATCAACAGATAAAATGCAATCTCTATAAAATTCCTATGGCATGTGTCACAGAAATAAATAACCCTAAAATTTGTATGGAAGCATAGAAAATCCAGAATAGCCAAAGCAAACTTGAGAAAGAACAAAGCTGAACTTACACCTTGGTTTCAAACTATATTACAAAGCTGTAGTCATCCAAACAGTATTGTACTGGCACAAGACCATTCACATAGATTAATGGAACATAACTGAGAGCCAAGAAGTAAACCCACAATATATGTATTGTCAATGAACTAATGACAAAGTAGCTAACAATATACAATGGGAAAAGGGCAGTCTTTTCAATAAAGATGTTGGGAAAACCAGATCCAAGAGAATGAAACTAGATTACCATCTCACACCATACACAAAAGTTAACTTAAAATGGATCATATGGACTTGAACATATGTTCTGAAATCATGAAAGTTCCAGAAGAAAATATAGGCAGTAAGCTCCTTGATGTCAGTCTTGAGGTGGATTTTCTGGCTCAGACATCAAAAGCAAAGGCAACAAAAGTAAACAAATGAGACTATATCAAACACAGCAAAGGGAGCCATCAACAAAATGAAGAGGTAGTCTGCCAAATGAGAGGAAGTATTTGCAAATCATGTATCTGATAAGGGGTTAATATCTACAAATAAAAGAATTCATACAACTCAACAGCAAAAGAACTAATATCCGGATTTTTGAATGGGCTTAGACCCTGAACAGGTATCTCACAAAGACATACAAATAATCAATATGTATATAAGAAGGTGCTTTACATCATTAGTCATCTGGGAAATGCATGCAAATCAAAACTACAATGAAATACCACCTTAACATCAATCAGGATGACTTATCAAAACATCCAAAGACAAAAAGTATTGGCAAAGGTGTGGAGAAAAAGGAGACCTTTGTGCACTCAGGAATTTAAACTGGTGCAGCCACTACAGAAAACAGTTTGGGGGTTCTTTAGCAAATTAAAAATAGAATTACTATATGACCCAGCAATTTCACTTCGGGGTATTTAACCATAGAAAACAAAGAAATTAACTGGAAAAGATATGTGCACCCTCACGTTCACTGCAGAATAATTTATAATAGTCAAAATATGAAAACAACCTAAGTGTCCACTGGTGAATGAGTCAATGAGATATTATTCAACCATAAGAAAAAATGAAACTTCACCATTTGCAACAACATGGATGGACCTTGAGGGCATTGTGCTAAGTGAAATAAGTCAAAGAAGACAAATACCACATACATCTTACTTGTATGTGTAATCTAAAAACAAAAGCCCATGGATACAGAGTACAAATTAACAAATATCAGAGGTGTGTGTGTTTGGGGGTGGGGGGTGTTGGGGGATGAGAGAAATGAGTGAAGGGTTTAGAAAGTATAAACTTCAGTCATAAGAGATGTAATGTATAGCATGGAGATGTAATGGTGTCTATAGTTAATACGATATTGTATATTTGAAAACTGCTAACAGTAAATTTGAAAATTTTCATCACAAAAAATAAAGTTTTGTAACAATTTATGGTGATGGATGTTACCTAGACTTGCTGTGGTGATCATTCTGCAGTATATACAAGTACTGAATCATCATGTTGTACACCTGAAACTAACACAATGTTACATACCAATTATATCTAAATTTTAAAAAATAATTTTTTTTAATTCACTGAGAAATAAGTCCACCTGGCAAGTAAGAATTAAAAAGACTTATCCTAAACACACTGCTTTTCCTCTGTTCCAGCATTTTCTAAGATGTCAGTAGAAACGACGTTTAAGTTTGGAAAAGGATTTGTTCCCCCTCCCTGGAGAGTGGGCTTCCCTGGTGGCTCAGACAGTAAAGAATCTGCCTGCCATGTGGGAGACCCAGGTTCAATCCCTGGGTGGGGAAGATCCCCTGAAGAAGGGAATGGCAACCCACTCCAGTACTCTTGCCTGGAGAATTTCATGGACAGAGGAACCCTACAGGCCCCAGTCCATGGGATCCCTGGAGAGTGCATAATTATAGCTCTAAGAAGTCCTGAAATCCAAAAATCTGCCTAACTTGGTATTGAAACATCTAGTTTTACTAAATTCTGATCATCAAATCATTTTTCCCCTAATCATTATTAACACAGAACCAGAGTTCCTTGGAGCACACTTTAAGATATGTAGTATCCACAAGTTATAATCTCTGCAAGACCAAGTGAGACCATGATTAATCTTAATCCTCTGTTCACAGTCCTTCTTCCTAGTATTGTTTCCTGAGGAGTACTGTGAAAACTTGATTTTTTTACTAATTTTATGATCCATGAGGTATTTTCTGTATTTCTATACATAAGGAAAGGCAGATATTTGCTCCCCAGTAAAGCATACATATAAACCACATAAAAAAAATCAAGTTTGTTTTTAGATTGGAATCATATCAACTCAGTAGGTTAACACATTAATAAAATGTACTGCATGCTGATTTTAAGGTCCTAATTGGTTATATCACAGATATTCCAAGATGTCATTGGTGGAATAAACACTATTGTTGAAGTCATCTATGTCTGTACTAGAATTAAACTCAAGGGCAGAATGACAATCAGTGTATTATTTGTTTGGTCTTCAAATTAGCTTTGTGAACTAAGGAGGAAGGTGTTTACTAGATCCTTTCACAGATGAGAAACAACATGATAAACCCAAAGTTACATCCTCCAATTTTCTATTATCCCATATTCTCATGTGGCTATAGTTTCATAATCCTTCAAAATGCTTATAAGAATGCATTAAATACAGTGTAAAACATGAAATGATCTATTACTGATAATGTCCTACTTGTATATAAGAAAAGTTATCACAAGAAAATTCTTTAATTGATTACAATTAACCTTTTAGTTCCTAAGGAAGGCTTGAAGAGTCAAGAACTATTTGATGAAATTAGAATGACCTACATCAAAGAGCTAGGAAAAGCCATTGTCAAGAGGGAAGGAAACTCCAGTCAGAACTGGCAGCGGTTTTATCAACTGACAAAACTCTTGGACTCCATGCATGATGTAAGTGTCAAACAAAAAATCCAAGTATCAAAAGAATTTCCTGAGACATGAAGTATGTCCTGATTAATGTATATAATTATATACCAATAGTTTTGGGGTCCCTCCCATTCATCTATTTTGATGATGGTTTGATTTCAGGCTGTGAAGTTCAGTTTGGCACACAATTCTCCTAAGGTCAATTGTGAAATACCATTTCATCTAGTCATATGCATCTAACATCAAGATACTAATACAGAATGTAATGGCACTGTTTTTTAAAAGGTAGAATTCCCTCTTTCTGTATGAATTTATCCAGTAAGTTTGAATGTGTCCTTCATATACTACAGTACCACAATTCATCATGAAACACTTAATTCCATATAATTCTATATACTATTTAAGAAGTTCAAAATGTCTGTGGTAACTGAGTGCTCATTTTATTTAAGTAAACTTCTTTCTTACCCAGAGAATTCCAGCAGATTGGTATATTCCAAGTCAGAAATTTTTAAAAAAAAAGGGGGGGGGGCCAAAAACAAGCATGAGATGTCTCTACTGCTAAGTTTTTAAGACTGATCATCACTATATCTTCTCTTGCAGGTGGTTGAAAATCTTCTTAACTATTGCTTCCAAACATTTTTGGATAAGACTATGAGTATTGAATTCCCAGAGATGTTAGCTGAAATCATCACCAATCAGATACCAAAATATTCAAGTGGAAATATCAAAAAACTTCTGTTTCATCAAAAGTGACTGCCTTAATAAGAAAGGTTGCCTTAAAGAAAGTTGAATTTATAGCTTTTATTGTACAAACTATCAATCTGTCCTGTAGCAGTTTTATTTTTTTTGTTTTTGTCTGGATTTTGTTTTTGTTTAGAATACGCACTACATGTGGTTTAAAGAGGGCCAAGACTTGGCAACAGAAGCAGTTGAGCTATCACTTTTCAGTGATGGGAAAAGTAGAAAGTGAGAGTTGGTGGATCCCAGAAGTTAAGAGCCAATAATGTGGGTGTATAAGCTCCACTTTCAGAGGAGGATGGCACCTAAACCACCAGTGCCCGAAGTCTGTGTGATAAACTTTCTGCTCATACTTTTCACAGTTGGCTGGACAAAATTTTTTAGACTTTTTGTTGGTATATTTTCCCCTGTATAGTTAAGATAGCATTTTTTTGATTTATGCATGGAAACCTGAAACAAAGTTTACAAGTGTATATCAGAAAAGGGAAGTTGTGCCTTTTATAGCTATTACTGTCTGGTTTTAACAATTTCCTTTATATTCGGTGAACTACGCTTGCTCATTTTTTCTTACATAATTTTTGTATTCAAGTTACTGTACAGCTGTTTAAGATGGGCAGCTAGTTCATAGCTTTCCTAATCGAACTCTAAACATTAATCTTCTGTGTGAAAATGGGTTGGTGCTTCTAACCTGATGGCAGTTAGCTATCAGAAGACCACAAAAATTGACTCAAATCTCCAGTTTTCTTGTCAAAAAAGCTCACATTTTGTATATATTTGCTTCAGTGGAGAATTATATAGATTGTGCAAATTAACCGTCCTAACTGGTGTAGAGCACCTAGTCCAGTGACCTGCTGGGTAAACTGTGGATTGCAAAAGACTAATTAAAAAAAAAAAAAAAAAACTACTAAGAGGCCCTGTTTGTACCTAATGCCCTACCTATCTCTGCAATGGTTAGATGGGAAGAAAGTCAGTAAACTGTCTTTCAGGACCTTTTGCTGTAGTTTATAAAACGTACTAAAAGTTATAATGCCAGATAACCAGCTGAAACACAGTTGAGAGTTTTTAACCAGTCCAAGTAATTCCTCCCACTAAACTTTACCCCCTCCCAAAAATCTCTAATATGGCAAAAGTGGCTAGACACCCATTTTCACATTCCCACTTGTCACCAATTGGTCTTTCTTTCCTGGGGATACAGGAAAGCTCAGCTACTGATTTTTCTGATTTAGAACTGTATGTCAGACTTCCATGTTCATAAAACTATACATCCCTCACAGCCTTATGTGTGCCATAGAGTTTAATGAAAGTCATGTGAATTTCTCCTTCTCACTGTTGAGAATTATCATTTTAAACAAGATAGAAGCTGTAGTAGCCCTTTCTGTGTGCACCTTACCAACTTTCTGTAAACTCAAAACTTACATTTACTAAGCCACAAGAAATTTGATTTCTATTCAAGGTGGCCAAATTATTTGTGTAATAGAAAATGGAAAATCTAATATTAAAAATATGAAACTTCTAATATATTTTTATATTTAGTTATAGTTTCAGATATATATCATATTGGTATTCACTAATCTGGGAAGGGAAGGGCTACTGCAGCTTTACATGCAATTTATTAAAATGATTGTAAAATAGCTTGTATAGTGTAAAATAAGAATGATTTTTAGATGAGATTGTTTTATCATGACATGTTATATATTTTTTGTAGGGGTCAAAGAAATGTTGACGGATAACCTATAAGATTTATAATGTGTGCAAGCATTCATACAGGCAGCAATGGTCTCAGAAACCAAACAAGTCTGCTCTACAGGAAGAGGGAAATGAAAACTGGCCCTGTGCACCATGAAGGTTATTGAGGCTCTGTCCCATTCAGATCAGAGAGGAAGTATCCTCTGCCTCCCAGAATGACCACCCTTCTCATTCCAACAGTGCGTCTGTCTGCACAGGTTTAGTTTACTAAATCTCCCCTTGCGCTAAAGTGTGTTAACAGGACAGAAAGGTGGTGCTTACACATTTACAGGCACCATCACATACAGCCTCCCCAACAGTTTAACAGTTTGGCAATAATACGCATAGAGGTACCAGCAATATGTAAATAGTGCAGAATCTCATAGGCTGCCAATAATACACTAATTCCTTTCTATCCTATAAGAGTTCATTTCCTAATAAAATGAGGACATGTTTATGTTTTCTTTGAATGCTTTTTGAATGTTGTTATTTTTCAGTATTTTGGAGAAATTATTTAATAAAAATGTAATCATTTGCTTTTTGAATGCTGTCTAAAAAGGGAATACTCCTTTTATAATTCTTTAAATTGATATCAAAGTATTTTAAAATGATTTGTAACCCAGCTGGATGTGAAATCTTTGGTGCCTAAGAAATATCACTTGAATATTATCAGTGATAGTGTTAAGTTTCAAAAAGAGCTTCTGAAAGATAAATTATCATTTATAGAGTATTATCTGGTTAAAACCAGAAGGCGTACCACACATTAATCTTAATTTTAGCCCCAACAACCTTGGCTCCCAAAAAATCGAGCTCAATGAATAAAGACAAGTGCACTTTGTTGTTAAATGGAAACGGACTGACATTCATGACACCATAGGAAGCTGTACATTAAATGGAAAAAGAAGCCGTGACCTTTTAGAAAATGTGGGAAAGAAGATATTTACCTTAATTATGTATGAGTGTAATTATGGACTTAAGTGAAGAAAGCTATGGTGCTATCTGAAAGGAGCTTCATTTTCTATATATTTGGTATGTTGCCATCCCAAACTATTAAAGTGTGTAGTAATTTTAGTGACAGGTGACATGCGTAGATGAGTCACAACAAATCCTGAAAAGTATTTTTAATTACCAGTGGAAAAAGGGACACTCTGTGTTTTTAGGCCTTGCTATAGGATACAAGACAAGTGTTTTGGGGATATATATATATATATACACCCAATTGTCTAAAACTATGTGAGGGGAACCTAAAAGTGCATGTGCCTTTTCCTGGGGGAAAAAAAAAAACACAGCAAAAGGAAAACACATATGATTAGTGTCTATGAAGAAATCAGTATTTAGCATAGGATGAGCTGTGGATACACATATAAAGGAAAGCCAGGCTCACTTCAGAATTGAGGAATGGAAGAATGAGCAACTCCAATTTTACATATCTACCAATAAAACCAATTATCATTAAGTCTTATCATTTTAGTTCTCTATTAAATATACTAAAACTACATTACCATGGAATGGACATTATTATTACACTTTGATCTGTCAAAAGTTAAGAACTGTGACAGCCCTCCATAAGATTTTGGTCTTGGTAGATCACTGAAAGGACTGCAGCTGTATATGAATGTGTTTTTCTGTGCCTGGTTTGAGAATGAGAAGAGAAACTAAGAGCGTAAGGAGGCCATGTTAACCACTTGGAGTGGAAGTTTATAGTTTTCCAAACGATGGTCAGTCAGCCTGGTCCACCAAGGATTAGTGACCAGGTTCTTGGGAAAGGATTAGCTTCTCTCTAGCAAATGCCTGAAAGAAGGATTTTATTTTCTGATGAAAGGCTGTATGAAAATACCCTCCTCAAATAACTTGCTTAACTACATATAGATTCAAGTGTGTCAATATTCTATTTTGTATATTAAACAAATGCTATATAATGGGGACAAATCTATATTATACTGTGTATGGCATTATTAAGAAGCTTTTTCATTATTTTTTATCACAGTAATTTTAAAATGTGTAAAAATTAAAACCAGTGACTCCTGTTTAAAAAATAAAAGTTGTAGTTTTTTATTCATGCTGAATAATAATCTGTAGTTTAAAAAAAAGTGTCTTTTTACCTACGCAGTGAAATGTCAGACTGTAAAATCTTGTGTGGAAATGTCTAACTTTTATTTTTCATTTAAATTTGCTGTTCTGGTATTACCAAACCACACATTTGTACTGAATTGGCAGTAAATGTTAGTTAGCCATTTACAGCAATGCCAAATATGGAGAAACATCATAATAAAAAAAACAAATCTGCTTTTTCATTATATGACTCCAACATGCTTTTGTAGAACTCATGCAGTTTCCATTTTCCTGCTGCTTTTCTTCCCTCTTCTATTGAAGGTAGAGTTACCACTTCAGGGAGCTTAAGCTGCTAAAGAGGACACTTAAATGGCAATGTGGCAAGTTTACATGCTAATATGGCATAAATTCAAAATGAGCTTAACCCTGGCACCGAAGACTGTCCCATCTGTGCCTCAAATGGTAATGTGCCAACTACTGCAAAGGGTACCAAGGGAAGGAAGAACTCATTCAAGCCTTTTCTAAACCTAACAGTCTTTACCATGAAAACGCTATTTTATGTTAACAAACTGATTAGCTCTTCAAGATTCCTACCTTACTTAAAGTCATCAATTCTTTCTCCAAAAAAGGACATAAACATTCAGTAAACACAGCAATATTGCATATTATAGACAATAAAGGCAAAAGGGATAAAATGGTAAACCAGTTATTCTATACAATTTACACAGTACTTCCAAAAGCATAATGTGTTCAATCATATCCATAAACTGGATGATCTAACAAACTTCCCTATAAATACTCTTCTCTCCACATGTGGCCTCCATCCCTAAGGAAAAGGCATTACGATTTTAAAACCAAGTCTATCTTACCTGTCATACGTGTACCAAGTAGTTGCTATGTACCCACTATATGATAAATATTGAAGTTCAAATATGAACAAGAAAATTACTATTCCTACCTTCAGTCATTTGCAAAAGTATACAAGAAGCCTCCCTTCCAAGTGTCTTGCTAGTATGTATACATATTACTGCTTTACTATTCATTTCAGGTATTAGCCTTACATTTTTAGAACACTGACATATAGCAGTTAATCCTCACCTACCCAATAAACAAAATGAAATAAAAACAAATGCTAAGGAACATAACTCCATTTCATAAAAAGGGAACAAGTTCAGAGTTTAAACACCTGATTCATAGCTGCTAACCCATTTTATTGAAATATGAATGGAAAATCTTTG